GATTGTGACAAATATTGAGGGGATTAATTCTGCCTATACAGAACCAAATATGGTTCTGTTTCTTCCTGTCGATTTCTATAATTTTCTTTGCTTCTTACACTTGAATAATAGAACATCAAATTTGGAAACTGAATGTTTGAGAGAAGAAACAATGTTAACGTTGCAAAATCATTAAGAATTACAAAATATAAATTGGCGCATGGTGGTAAGTTGCAAAACGTCATCATATGATAAATTTCAAAGACACAATTTGGCGAATAAAAAAAAAGAAAAAAAAAATGTTACCCTGTTGCGTGCAAGGTTTAGATATCCCTATGTAGTGAGATTTTGTCTACAGCAACCAGAGAAGTTAGAATCGTTTTACCGCAGGTTGACTTGAGATCCTTTACAATATACCGACATTGGCCAGAGATTCTTTGAGTTGATTTACATCTTGAAACTAGAAACAACATACAAACTAATATGATGAACACATATAATACAACGATGTCAGTTCTCAACGAAAGGTATTACTATTTCTTTGTTTTCGTGGTATCAGCGACTATTTGTTTGTCTGTCTATCGATTTACCTATCTATCTATCTAATTGGGTTGGAGTCCATAGTTTCGGTTTGTTTAAAACCTTCTGTCAAGGTTGTTTAAAATAAAAATACTAGAACTTTTTCTTGAAATAAGTCACCACAGGTATCGGACTTTGGTCTTTCGCAGTACTTGAAGAAGAATGAACAGGCGTCATCATTTCGGGGTTCGCCTCTTTACATGGCACCTGAAATTTTTTGCCGAGAACCATATGACAGTCGTGTCGACTTGTGGTCAAGTTTTCTTCCTTTTTTTTTTAATTTTGAAGGCATAATTCTTTCAGGTATTATGCTATATAAAAAAAAAATCGTAATCTGAAAATTTCAAATTCGTGCATTACAGGTCATGCGGTGTTATTCTGTATGAATGTTTATATGGCATACCGCCATTTACTGCTCACACATACAGCGAACTCGTGGTACAAATTTTGTCACAACAGTCCATAAATTACCCGACGAATGTGCACCTCTCGTCTGTTTGTCTTAATCTTTTACAAGGTGTAGTTTTATATGAAAATTATCAGTATATTTATAGTACTTCTCTGAGTACTGTATATGCATTAACTTATAGCTCTGCTCGTTCGTAATCCTCATGAACGCATTACGTTTGAACGGCTTTTCACGCATCCGTTTGTGGATCTCACGAAATTGTCTTCATCCGCTGAGCTGGATAAAGCTAACAGTTATGTTATGAAGTCGCAGCAAGCTGAATCTGAAGATGTGTGTTTTTTTTTTTCGTATTGAAATTTTTTCATTAAGGACCATACTTCCGAATAATAGCTAATCAGTAATACTGATATATGTTAGGGAAATTGTAGCTTGGAAGGTGAAGTTTTTCGCTACTCTGGGACGGAGATACAATGGTGGAAAATTCTTTTGCAGCCGTGGATAAAAAAGTATATATAAAATCACCAGAAGAGCTACCATCAAAAAGTGGATTCAAATAGACAGAATTCTTTGTCATTTATATTGTCCTTTGAATCATTTCTTCACAGAATCTAGTTGAAGCGATAAAATTATTATCAAATGCCGTGCAAACCTACATTCGTTGTTTGGAATTATTCGATGAGGGTGAAGAGAAAGTGAAATTTCGCGAAAAAATTAAAGCATACCTAGAACATGCTGAAAACATGAAGGAACGTCTGCGGCCTGTTATTATGGAACTCCCTTTATCGCAATCACTTGATCAGGTAGAATGGGATGATTGGCCTCAGGTATATTTTGTTTGGCGATAAATTGGGGTCTCGTCAGTTTTTTCTGACTTTTCAAGCTTCTTTCTTCTTTTAAACTCGGTCTATAGATGAAGCCATGTTGTTTTGAGATGTTTCAAATCAATATTTGATTAAATGTCTAACATTTTTATCGGAAATCAAAACACTTCCCGAAATTCATGTTTATTTTTAGGTCCGTGCTGCTGAGTTAGTAGCACACACGGCATATGATTTGGAGCGTCAGGAACAGTGGAATGCCGCATTATCGAAGTATACACTAGCAATTGAAAGTGCAATGCATGTTTTAAGCAATGAAAATCGTGGAACAGAACGTTCCATCAAATTACAACGTAAAGTTTCCAGCTGGTTATCTGCAGCGGAACGAATAAAAGTACCTTTTATTTTTCATCTCACTTTTTTCAGCTTCGTTATCAGCGGCGTTCGTTTTGCGGGGTGAATGATATAATTTCTTATCGCATTAGAGTTTCTTGTTCGTATCATTTTTTTTTAAATTTTATTACGATTAGGCTTGATCACTTACGCACTTGCGTGATTACCAAAAATCTATACAAGCAAGTAGTCAGGTCTTTCCTTCCTGCTTATTTCTGGAATATGCTTTAATTAGTGAGAATACGTTGATATTAGGACGAAAGTTTTGATGCGTCATTTTGAATTCTTTTACATCAGAAATATGTGGATGTTATGAATGACGATTACGAAATTTCGATGAACAGTACTGATGAAGCCGACAAACAGCTCCACCAAATTACTGCAAACAAGCAGTGTATAATCTCATAAAGTGTATGTGAATATAATCTTTGTTTATATTTGAACTCTGTGATAATCTAAAGATTTACAAATATTCGAATGAAACGCATCTGATTTATTTTCTCATTTCCTTATTATTACTGCATGTACACTTAAGCATACTACTCTGAATTATTTCGAAATGCCATAAACATTGCTATTCTATAGTCCGATGGAGATGCTATAAACGTTCTATAGTCCGATGGAGCTACGCTTATGATGAATTCGATTTCGATTTTTTCAGCATGATAATTAAGATTTTTAGTGCAGTACGTGATAATTATTGAAAATTTGTCTACATAAGAACTATCTAAAAGTAGGAAATGTCTATTCTATGACAATATAATGTTCGAACTTTCCGCGCTTTAAATGTTAGTAATCCCCGTCATAAGAGGACCATACTGTTCGCTTCAACTTCGAGTTTAAACATTTTTTAGTAGTTATAGTATTTCGGATGAATAAATAATTTATTTTCGCTTCTCTTGTAATTCTCAATAAAAAGGTGAATGTAGG